TATCTGTATTTGTCAAGCTAAAAAATAAGAGGCTCACTACTTCAAAACTGCGATAATAGCGCCTATTCATGCAGAAAGGCATCGTGATAAAATCAGATATATGACATTTCTTTTTGCAAACAGTGGATGAATTTGCTTCAAAATCATAGCGAGTTTCGAAGACCTATTTTTCAGATTTCTTCCTTCTTCTTAAAGCTCCCACATAACCATGAAGTTATGCGTCTACGAATTTGCAAAAATTTTATCAGAGAACGTACGATTCAATTTCTAAAAGGCCCTTCGCCGCTTTCATCACTGTAAAGTTAAAACTGCTTTGGCCTTTGTCGTTTCAAACTTTTTTTATCCGAATAAATATGCGGCTTTATTTTAGCCCCAATCTGTAGCAGAAGCCAACCGCAACCATTCGCTCTGCCGATGGCTTACACATTCGGAGGTCGAAGCTGATTGCAGGTTTGGTCACCTACAGATGTTCTCTACCATTTTACCTCTACCTTTACGGCTTATACTCATCTTCTCACCAGGAAATATCGTCTAGGATCGACTAGCGTTACCGCTTACCGGGATGACTTCTGTTCCGTGCTCAGCGCCTTCTAGAAAGTTTTTACATTAATGTTCGTCCGTTTTACAACGTCATCTCTTCCAGTTTCTTGACTCGAGCACGTCGGCTGGTTATTACGCCGGTTGGCAAAGCACCACAACTTTGCCTTCATCTGCAGGTCTTTTTACGTGACTGTGTTTCGACAAGAGCTAGGCATACCACATAATGGTGATGTTCTTGGCAACAGCACTTACAGCCCCGTTCATAACAATGCCTTACACATTCTAGCTCGTCACGCTCTACTCCTTAATAGGTTTCAGCTTCATCTGGACGATGAAAATAAGGTCCTATCTTTAATTTATGCCGTGCCCAAGCTCCACAAGAACCGTTACGACGCTATACGCACCAGTATCAAGCCCTTGAGCATTCTTCTGCATCGCCTGCTCCTATTTTTCCGTCAGCACCGTTACAATTACTCGGCAGTACTACAGCGCAGGTTACGTAAACGCCCTTCTACAGCGTTCGAAACTGTAGCGAGGTATTGTTTCCATGGGAGGTAATGTCAGCTTAGACACTACCGACCTCACTCTTTCTGTACATGAATTTAAGTATAGTAAGCTCCTTCGCAATCCCCCGTCCTCCTCTGCCGCTACGTTGACGATCTGCTCGTGCTTAATTGTCCCCACTTTTGCTCTCTTCAACTATCCTTATATATGGCAAGTACTTGGATATTGAATGCATCGGTTCCGGCATGTCCGTTGATTACTTAGATACGACTCTTTCAGCAGAAATTGACGCCTGTATAGCTCCTTTTCTTTACTGCAATACCGATCTTTTCACTCTCCCAAGTATTCCTCGACTCACAGCAGTGTGCACCCATCAGTCTATACAGGGACGATTTTTAGCCAACTCATTCGATATTTACGTATTGAGTCCTCTTTGCAAGGGTTTATTACTTCGGCTCGTCACCCCCTTCTGTATTACTCGTTAATGGTTTTTCCTCACACCACATCAACCTTTTGCTTCGCACTTTCATACACCGAAATAGATACCAATTCTCTAAATATTTCTCACCAACTCAAGCTCACTGCCGCCGTATAGTACATTGACTGTCTTTATAATTCATTTTCTTTTCCATTCGTCTTTTGCGCTACGTGCTGCATTCGCGTGTCCCCTTTGTCTTTTTTCCCGCTATGGCTAGTGTAAAAAGAAGTAAAAACTGCAACGATGATGGCACTTCGAATAATTCTTTCGGCAACAGGACCTTCACGATCGAGATTCATTCTTGTGCTTTTTTAAAACCTTTCTTTAATTCTTTTAAATCCTTTCCGAGAATCCTTCCTTTGAATCTCTTTTAAGTCCTTTTATATGTTTTTTAAACTTCCTCTTTCATCTACACCTTCTTCACCCCATTTTCACCCCTTCCCCTCCCCAATCCTACAATCACAGTTCTTCCTTTCCTTGCTCTTTCTCTATCTCTTTATTCTTTCTCTTCCTCATTCGTTAAACGCTGCGACCTGATACTGACGAGGTTCTGTCGCAGTGCTGATTTAAGACGTACATGACCTAATGGACCGAAACATCTTATCTCATTTCTGCCTCCTTTTCTCATTCTTTCCTGCTTTACGCCTTCGACACTTTGCCATCCAAGATCAACTTAGATACTACGGTCGGTTTACCATAAAACCGAATGACAAGTCGCGGAAAGATAAGCCGCTTTATGGGCAAAATTAAACTCTTGACTTCATGAAAACAGTGCTACTTCCCATTGCGTTGTTCTCTCGGCCACAAAAAAGTACTAACCAGAAACCAGCTTTTCGCCCTGTGTTCCACATCTTCATCCGACAACGCATATAAACCGCTAATCAGAGAACCAATTGACGTTCCACCGATC